CGCTGCCTAAATATTCCACCATATGCATCTAGAGGTAAGGGAGGGGGAGGAACAAAACAATATATAAAATACAGCAATCAACAATTAGAGGCCTGCTCAGCTTATGACTCTGGCAATGTTATAACTGCATTTAACCCATGGGGAGAATCTTGGCAAATGAAGAGGATTTTTTGAATAATGCTGGTATTATAAGTGTTGAGAAAGGCCCCATTATGTTGTCACCAGTGCAGGGATATGGTGATAAGGGGCCAAATCCAGACTTTGTGAAAGGAAGCCTTTACACACACATTCCATTGCCTTCAGCAGAGGGGCGTCTATTTACACCAGACTCATAACATAGCTGTTCTGGTGGAGAGGCAAACAGACTGCTTGGAGGTTGTGTGGCTCATCTGTCAGCAAGTGACATTATTAGAAACTTGTGCCGGGTGGGGGGGCGGTAGGGGGGAAGAGGCACAAAGAATACTATTGTTTCCCATGTATTTATTTCTCCAAACATTTAAACTGCTACTACAGGGCCTGTCCAGTGCTGCAGGGCCCTATCCCCTACATCAGCAATTCTCAACCAGGGTACTGCAGCACCCTGGGATGCCTTGAGATCTTTTCTGAGGGTGCTGCACAATATTAGCAATTAGATATGCAGACACCTAACCCATGCTTCACAAGATAAACCCCGAGGTATCAAACAGGAATCCAGTGTCAAAAAGATTCTGACTCGGTGTGGTTTTTTCTGAGTTTTTTGCAACAGAAGCACTGCTCAATTATTTTTCCATAGTCAGAAAATGAGAGAAAGGTGAGAGCTGGCATTTGCCAAGGGGAGCCTTGAGTCTAAAAAGGCTGAGAACCACTGCCCTAGGTTTAAAAGAAATATATATGTAAACAACAGACTTCCATTCAATATACCTATCTCAGCTCCCACTATATTTAAAGGGGCAAACAAAAGAAAGGCTTTGCAGTAAGTCCAAAATCAAAATGAATATGGACTGCGATAGACCCAGAGGACCCCTCAGAAAGACTGCCCTGCTCATCGCTGCCCCCCAAGCTACTGACTGAGGGAGCTTCAGCTGAAGCATCTCTGCCCACTTCCACAGCAGCAATATAACAGAACTTGGTCCCAAACCATTTACTCCTTTGAGTTAAAAAGTAAACCATGAATTCAACCCCAAAGAAATACAGGGAGCCAGTGCAGATCACAGAGTACTGGTCTGTTGTGCTCAGAGCAGTGTACTGAACTTGGATTTACCATTATAGCCTAAGATAAAATGCTGCAGCAAAACCTTTCCAACTACCAGACTGAGGGCTGAATGAGGGGAATGTTTCCACTAAGACTCGTGCCAACACGCATCTCTCCAATACTAATGCTTTCAAACTGAGGTGCCCAGAGTGGGGTTCCTAAATAAATAATGGCAATGGGAGCTGCCCAAACTATTCAGAATCTATTAGGCAAGGACTCGAGAGCCTAATTTTTTATACACCGTGATCAGAGGGGGGTTTTCTTTCAGTGTATGTGTGTGCATGGCAGGTTTATGTCAGCACAGCTTAGCAGACAGGATGAAGGTCAAGGCCTCAGAAGGCCATTAGGCTACTTCTGATAAATCTGGCTCTGGATGACCCAGGACAAGTTGCTTTTCCCTGTGCTTCCATTTCGATTCATCTACTCAGTCCCTGCTCCAAAGAGTTTTTTAAGTAGTCTCTCAATTTTTGCGTGAATACATTCTAGCAGAACAGGCCCCATTCTCACTAGGGAGACTTCTGGTGTTGCTGTAATATCAATAATATCAAACTTTCTCACCTGCTGTCCTCCTGAGTAGGGAACAGTGGTGTGAACCCGGTGGGGTAGATCAGTACCACAAATGTGTCTAGCAGTTAATGGCCATCTCTCCACATAGTTTGCCTTCACTTTTGCTCTGGGCAATCTGGAAGAGCGTAGTAAAGACATTTCTTTACTGCAGCCTGGGTTTTGCTGGGTGATGCCAGTTACAGGGGAACTGCTTCCATCCAGTGCAGCACTCTCAGTTCCTTCTGGAGAGGACTTCCCTTCTTCTGCGTCTAAGAACTGGCGCATACTGCTAACTAACTCTGGGTAGTCAGTGTCCAGTTCTCTGCAGTTCCACCTACCGTCGTACTGGCATGGCACATTCAGCGAGGCTTCAGAAGTTGATTTTTCCACGTCCAAGGCCATTTATACTAACCCTCTTCCTTTCAAAAGATTCTATTTATGCAGCATTGGAATCTGAAAGAAATATATACAACAAAAATAATTCCTTCTCCCTATCTCTATATAACTAGCATATGAAACTGGATATGCTTTACCCTCCAGCTAAGAAACTTTGATCTGTCCTGGGCAAAAAAAAAAAGATGAGTTGCATCATTTTCATGAAAAAATTCTTGCAGGTGATATATTTTACTGAACCAATTGTATAGCTGGTATAGACAAAGGCAAGCTTTTGGGTATCATAGTACCCTTCCTCAGGTCTCTGAGACAGACGCAGACACAGTAGAGCTAAAGAGCAGATTGAACAAAAGCTTATTAAGTAAGGTTGTTATCATCTGTGAAGCGTAGGGGTTAGCAAGCATCAGGAAGATTATAATGGACCATGAAGTCATTGTCTGTGTTAAATTCCTAGTGATTAGTGTCCATAGGCCAATGAATTTCTGTTCCCCTGCTTACCTTGTAAAAGTGTTGAGATTTCCTTTGAGTACTAGAACTGAGGTCACACAGGGAACGATTTTTCTGTTAAAAATGTTCTACCTGTTTTCCAGTGTCTCTATCCTTTATCTTTTTCTGGTGACTCTTCATTCTGGTACAGAATGGTGAGAAAATTGAACCCCTAACATCTTGGGATGGGAAAGACCAGTACTTTACAGAGATGTGTGGGGTTTTTTGGACTGAAAGTCACCCAAATGTGAAAAAGTAAAGAACAATAAAAAGTCATCCTCTTAGAGTCTGTTTGTACAAACAATACCTTTATGTTACTGATCACCCTTGGTTAACAACTCCCATGACACTCCTGCAAATCCTTCAGCATGTGGCATGCTTCTTAAAGCCCTAGACCAGTGGTTCACAACTTTTTGGGGGCCCACAGCACCCCTAAATAACTTTTGTGAAGTGAGTCCCACCCAATTTCCAAAACTAATTTAGATATTACAGTGCTTACTTCCTTGCAGACTGCCTGAATGAGGATATGGAATCAACTAGACATGGACAAGCCTCAGCATATGCTTATCTGCTTATCTCCTCATGCCTTATAGCATCCTTCAAAGGATCTAGCAGCACTCTGGTTAAAGAATCACTGCCCTAAACCATGAAGTCAGGTGAGTACATGAACACCAGAATCTCAGCTTTCATCACAGAGAAAATAAGTTTCTAGACCTTCTGGGTGAGGGAGGAAAGAAAACAGAAACCTTGAAAAAGTCTCAAACATGAAAAGGAAAATAGAAAGAACCCTAAACATATGGTTTTAAAATTCTTTTTAAACTGGTCTCATTATTTGGGCCTGATGCTCAGTAAGCAGCACTGTGAACCCTTATTTTTCTATATGCAAAGAAGATAATGCATTTCTTGCAACTATACTGTTATAAAAGGAGATGGTCAAACCCAGAAACAAAACTGTTCTTATTTTGGATCCTGATCTGAACTTTAACATCTTGGGTCAATTTTACAGCTTTTTAAAAATATATATTATCCAATTTATCCCTAATAACTTAAAGAAGTGGCCATAATTATTTGCTGCAGAAACTGCAATCAACAAGAAGCAAAAACCAGCTACTGCTCTAAACTCTTTGTAATGGGGCCATTCATCTTGCTTTGGCGCTTTTCTTATAAAACCCTGCAAATCCATTAATTTCTCTTCTATTTGGGTGCTGCCCAATTCACCCACAAGCCAGGACAAGTTCAAGCCTGGGCTCAGCATCTGCTGCCTGAAAAAGCCACTTAACAAAACCACGGGCAGTCATGAATTCTCCTGATTTGCATTTGTGAGTGACTATTCATGAATCGAAAGAGAGAAGTTGTTGGCTGGAACAGTAGAAAAAAACAGTTTAAATGCTTTTAGGACAGCCTCGCGCCAGCAGCAGCAGGTGTCAGCAGCTTGGATTTGTAACTGCAACACGAGGGCCAGGGTCTTTCGTTATGACTTTATTTGAGCTAGCAGGTGCTTCTGGGACTTGGGCCGAGCCCCAAGCTTGCCACCCAGAGGCTGCTCATTCTCCCTCACCCTCTCCCTCCCAAGTTCTCCCTTTGAAACTGCCACCCTCTCTGCCCTCTTTCAATCGCGTGCAATTTGAGCAAAGGCAGCAAGGGGATGCCCTTGTCAGCTTCTTGACACTGTACAAAGAAGGGCTGAAAGACTCTGTTTGCTACCTTAGGAATATCAAACTTGGTCTTGCCTGGCTTGGTTCCATGTCTCAGAGATGCAAAGCAATAAACTGATGGTTGGCACTTGAACAAAGACATAACTCCACCCACCACCAACACCACTACCACCCCACCCTTGACCAAACTAAGAAACTTCCTGTAAGGAGTGGGTAGGGTAGAGCAGAGCTTTTGGGTGTTGCTGTGGGAGTCTGTTGTTGTTTCTTACCTTGTGGGTTATTTGTCTTTTATTGTAACCCACCTTGAGGCTTTCTGGATAGGGAGGGAAACACATCTAAATAATACTAATAACAATAATGAGGTTTTTGCCTTGCTTTTCACCCTCTCATGTCCCCCAGAGATAGCAAGGGCTGGGAGCTCTACTGTACTCAGCCACTGACATTTTAAGTGCCATACTCTGTAGAACAGCTCTGGGAAAGGTTGGGCACCAAAGGGCTTTGGAGTAGTGGAGGCTGACTGGAGCCCTGGGCATGGGAGCCCACCTACCACTACTGCCACTCACTCTGCTCCCTCCCCACCTACACTCAGCCAGTCAATTCCTAAACCCACAGCATGGCCAACTGCATGTTATATGTGTGTGCAGGACGCTGCTGAGGACAAAGGACTCCTACCCTCTTCCTCTGTCTACAGCAGACCTGCATACACCATCTGGGGAAAATTCTTGGTACTTATATTATTTTGGCAGAGGCACCATAGACAGTTTTGTACTTAAAACATGAAGACTTCACGCTCAGACATGGGCCACCTTACATGTCTGGGAAGGGGAGTCGAGAGGTTTAAACTTCCTCTGTGTCATGTGATCTGTATGTGCAAGAGGCTGAGGGGGAGAGGGGCTATCAAAGAAGGAGAGGAGCTGCAAGTCTGAGTCACAGCTCAGTCCCAGGAGCAGCTGCACGCTGCCTTTTATGTAAAGTTTCTAAAAGAATAAATTACTGCACACCCTGAGCAAGATTCTGCTCCAGCCACACTGGTGGGGACATACCATCTTCACCCCAGCGTCACAGAGATGAGAATCCAGCCTGCTCCATCCTGGTTGCTTTTCATATACGTGAAATTTCTTGCAGCAGTTACTTCTCTAGAAAAAAAAAGTCCCGCAATCACTCCACTTAAAAAAAAAATCAGTCAATCATTCTGAGAATGTAAGAACCATGTAAGTCCAAGCAGACAGTAGACTGCGCTCTCAGCTATTTTTACACCATCCTACTCAAAGCTCAAGGGTGCGGACATAGCAATAGCCACATGATTTGGATAAGTTTCAGGCAGGTCTAGCAAAATTGGCTTTGTGAGGTCCCAAGAAGTCTTGTAAACAAGCTGGCAAGAAAGATCTTATGGAACTCTAAACCTGCAGGCTGATCTCCAGGGCAAAGACTGTTTATTTATAACAAAGAGCTTCTTTACCTGTCAACCGTATCCAGTACAGATACACCCCAACAGCACAAACAAAAATCAGGAAAAGACCAGCATTATTCTTATTATGACACAGTCTAACCTTTACTGTATTGCAGTTCATTTCAACATGGTGAAGACCATAACCGAACAAGGAAAATACTTTGGCCCAAGAGCTCATGTATCTTTAAAATTTATTAATCCAATAAAAAGGTATCACAGGAGTTATCAATCTTGCCCACTAATACACAGCTAAGTAGGTTATTAGGCATCCACAATGGCAGTTCTCCATAATCCCTCAGGTAGAAAGTCATAAACAACGGCTTGCGGATGACAGAAGGCACTTAAATTAGCAAGCGTGCTTGCTGGTTTTAAACTCCCACTAATTAGTTTAGCTGTATCTGAACTGACCTGGGAAAATCTTAACTGTGGGGAATGAACATGGTGGAATTTTTCAGCCAATAAATGAAAGATATATCTTAAAAAAAAAAAGACTACAGGGATAGTCAAATTTAATTTTAACAACCTTTCTTAGCAACCTCTCTTGGCACAAGGCAATCATACCACTGTCAACAATGTTATGCCTGGGGATAGTGCAATTGGCATTTAGAGAAATACCTAACCAGGAGAATTGGTAGAATAAAATTCACCCAGTAAAGTAGGTAGGTAATCCTGACTTTGTCCAGCGTTCACAAACCAATGCCACCATTTGCTAATCTATCAAGCGTCACAAAAAATTAATAATTATTGCAAATGACTAAAATGCCAAGTCTTGTGTGTCCCCCTTCCCCTCTCCCCCATTCTTTGAGAACTATCCAGGATTGGAAATTTGAACTCCGAAACTGATGTTGCCAATGTTTTAATTAAGCAGAGTGTACACTGCTCTGTGACAAACTTGTATTCAACTGAATCTGTCAGACAGTTTTCAAGGCTTCATGAATACTGTACACTCCTCTAGCAACATCAAACTGAACCAGAGGCCTATTAGCAACGTATTAATCAACCTTTTAATCAAATGGCTTTTCTAGTATTCAACAAGAGCTGTACTAGGGGTGGATGAAAGGAGAACAGCCAGCAACAAATTAACTGCAAATTCAAAGAGGGGGGAACTTAACACCATTTTTAGAGTTATTTTCTCTTAAATTAGCAGCCCTCATTGAGCCAGTTTCGCCTGCAGCAGCTGCAAATCACAGCCCATCCCCATTACACAAATCAAGCATGATAGCACATTCAACAGCCAAAGGGAAACCCCTTGCAGCATTTCCCAATTTACCAAACATCTTTAAAAGATGTCAACTGTCATTGTTCTGCCTTCATCTGTGAACCCGTCAGCCATGTGAGAAATGCAGGGAGAAGGGACACAACCATCTGTCTGGCATCACCTCTCATCTGTTCTGCAGGCCGTCCCAGCTATAAGCGTTTCTGCCTTCTAGTTATGCACCCATCGCTCAGCCTCTGGGTATGTTAAAAAA